TCCTGGCAAGGCCTCTGCCCGCTCCTGGAGCGTGCTGCGGGCACTGGGAAGCTCAGCCCCTTCGCCCGCCTCTTGCCCCAATCAGTGGGGAAAGAAGCCAAGAGCAGGAAGAAACCTCGGGATGGGGCCAGGGCAAACGAACCCAGACAAAGCCCGTAGACTCGGCAGGAGGTGTCCCAGGTGCCAGGGAAAGGGGAGGGAAGATGCTGCGTGGCAAGGCAGGAGGCAGCCAGGAGGCACAGGTTGGGGGAGGCAGCCCCGGGCCCCCTCCGGAGCAGGGCTGGAAGCCAGAGCCCGGCTGAGCGCTGCCAGAAGCAGCTTATTTTGGAAAGGAGGCGTCTTGGCTGAGCGCTTGGTGAGTGGAGCTGCTGATGCTGGGGAACAGGACGGCTCTCAGAGAGCAGGTCCCAGCCATGCCTTGAGGGCCAACGCTGCTTGGCTTCAGCCTGTGGCTGAATCTGCCCCAGCACAACCAGGACTGGATCCCTAACTCCTGAGTCACCCACTGCAAAGGGGTTTGGAGGCCCCAGTCACAAGCCGGCACAAGGCCCAGGGCCACAGCTCACCCTGCATGCGAGAGGAGCTGCCTGGGATCCACCACGCGGGATGCACGGAGCTCTTGCCAGCTCTGACCCACAGGGCTTGGTACAACCTCAAGCCTCGAATAGGGAAAGCGAGGCACACACGCTGGGGTGGGGGCACTTTACCCCACTGCTAGACCCTGCTCCCACCCCCAGTACCAGCCCTGCTACACCAGCAGCACAGTGAGCCCAGCCCAGCCCCTCCTGGTGCTCAGCCCAGGGGATGGGAGGCAGCCCCCTCACCAGCAGCAGGGGCTGGCCCGGAGCTGGAGCAGCGCTGGCAGCACGCCACCGCGTTCAGCCATGACCAGGGCTAGCAAAGGTGGGAGGGATTGCAGATTTTGCAGCAGAAACTGGACCTGCTTTGCCTTCCCCAGTGCCCTGTTGGTGTCCACCGGGGCCAAGGGGCTGGCACACAGGCAGCTCCCTGCCAGCATCCCCCATTCTTCCAGAAAGGGGGGCTGGAGAAGCACACGGGGGGCAGGGGCTGGCTGCAGCTCATAGTCCCTCGCTGTGCCCAGACACAGCTCGGGAGCTCCTTCCAACTGCAGGTTACTCATGGCTTGGCATGCCATGAATTTGGTCAGGTCTCAGCCCCTTTCCGGCATAGGAGCACGGCTGTGAACAGGCAGGCAGCCTCATGGGCTGGGGAAGGAGCAGCCGAGCTCCCCGCTGTGTACCAGGCTGCCCTGCCCTTTGGAGCCGCACACTGCAGCATTGTGGCCCAGCTGGTTTTTCCAGAGATGCTTCCAAGGGGCGAAATCAGATCTCAAGGGAAGGGAGCAGGCACGTTCCTGGCCGCACAGAGGAGTTGTCAGGCAATGCCAGAAACTGGGGCAGCTGCTGGGCACCACGGCCCAGCTAGAGGAAAACCAAGCAGACAAGCTCCGGAACCTGGGCTGTGCCTCGCTGCCCCGACTCCAGGAGCTGCTGCTCCTTTACAGACCTTTGTTTGCAAACCCCACAGCAGAGACGCCCTGCCCTGGCGCTTCCCACCAGCTTTGTTTTATGCCATCAGATATGAAACCACCAGCCCCGAGGGCTGGGACAGGGGCAAGGTCCCTGCTGGGGGACCAGGGAAGGGTTTGTGGGAAGAAAGGTCTCAAAGGAAAACAGAAAAGCAGCATGCGGTGAGGGAGTTCCCTCCGCACAGGGAAGGTATTTTTGGTCAGGGCTTGTCTAGACTGGAGTAACCCACGCTGCGTAAGCACATCAACACCACGCGGCAGGCCCGGGGCACGCAGGGCGACTTGCTGTTCCCGACCAGGGCAAGCCAGGCTGCACCGACCACGGGCAGGCAAAAGGCTCTGGAGGCAGAGCCGACCCTGGGAATCGCCATCCCATCCCCCCCAAGGGGCTGGGGTGACCCCAGGTGCTCCCAGGCCCTGTCCCCCAGGCGTCAGTACCCTGCAGAGCCTGGGATGTGCCCAGGTGGAAGGAGCTTACAGCAGCCAGGACTCTGGGGGTCCAGCTGGGGTTCCCTGTGCCACGTCAGCAGTTCTGCCCACCTCTGGCAAGCTGCAGGCAAGGACCCAAGAAGCCCTGAGCACCGTGGGCAGAGGTGGGACGCCCCCATCTTGACCCAGACCCTAGAACTGGGCAGGGCTGTTGCTGACACAGTGGAGCAGATGCAGCCCTGGCTGACCCTTGAGCCTGGTCCAGTCCTGGGGGGGCACTGCCAGCGTGCTGCCTCCCAGCACCCCCCCATCCCTCCCCAGCAGG